AGCTGGGATTACAGTCATGTACCACCATGCCTGGCTAATTTTGTATTTTTAGTAGAGATGGGGTTCCATTATGTTGGTCCGACTGGTCTCCAACTCCTGACCTCAGGTGATCCGCCCACCTTGGCCTCCCAAAGTGCTGGGATTACAGGTGTGAGCCACCACACCCAGCCCTCATTTTGATGTACTAGAAGACCAATATGCAACATAATGATTATTTTAAATGTTACGTTCCCTTTTGCCTTAATGAACAACAGTCTATCTCTCTCTTTTTTCTAGGATTTTATGTGTTTCATTAGAGCTAATTTTTAACAAAAGGTGGCTTTTATTTACAGAATTTAATGTGTGGGAACTGTCCAACCCAGGTGGACTCAAGTAAGGATAACCGTTAAGCTTGCTAATGTATTTTCAGTTTACATATAAATTTTTTTATTTGCTTTACATTCATAAAAATCCCAATATTGTAAATGACAAATATTTCTATCCCTTAATTAAATATACAAACAGCTTGAAAAACATACAGTTTAAATTGGTTTAATCTTGAAGTGTAATTCAATGATACTGAAAACTAAACATTTCAAGTCTTGTACCAAATAGTAAAATACTCAAAGGCCTTCAGGATCCTTGACCGATTTACATCAATAAGAGAACTTATTTTTGACGTGGTAGAAGATATGTGCTTATCTCCAATTACAATTTCAAACTCCTTTCGGCCAACTCTGTCAGGGGGAGGCCACAAAACCTCATCTTTTGTAATTTCACTTTCATCAATAATTCTCTTCAGTTCTTCCATTATACTATTGTGCACATAGCCTCTTTTTTGATCATGACATCATTTTTGTAATTGCTGTTGTTGGCATATCTAAGCTTTTCCTTGTGCCCTATGTAGTAACCGAGGTAGAAATCACTAGGCATAGCCATTTTTGTCCCTGGGAAGCCCGCTGAAAACCCAGCCAACGTATTGCCCAGTGCCTGGCAGCTACCCCATATATCCCTTTTCTAATGCTTTGCAACAAATTATCACAAATAAGTAGTTTAAAACACCACATATTTGTTATCTGACAGTCCTGTACCATGTGGCTGAGTTGTCTGCTCAGGTGTTCTCAAGGCTGAAATGAACAAACTGGGCTGTGTTCTCTTTTGCAGGCTCTGAGGAAAAATCCGCTTTCAATCTCATTCACATTATTGGCAGAATCCAGTTGCCTGGAGACTAAGATCTCTGTTTTCCTACTTACTATGGCCTGGGGTCACTCTCAGTTCATAGAGAACTGAGGACTCAGGACTCCTGTCCCGTGGTCTGCTCCATCTTCAGGGCTGGCAATGGAGAATCTTCCCTCACATGGAATCCTTCTTATGCTTCAAATCTCTCCAACTCTGTCACTGACCTCTGGACCCAGATTTAAAGAGCTCATGTGATTATGTCAGTCCCATCTGGGTGATCTTCCTTTCTTAAAGCCAACTGTGCTATATAACATAATGTAATCTTGGGAATAAGATCCCTCACAGTCACAGTCTTAGAGATTATTCAGGGTGTGTATATAGGGATCTTGGGGCCATCTTGGAATTCTGCCTCTCAGTTTATATCAATGTTCACAAACTAGCACTATGAAAAATCTGCAGTGGATATATTCTTAATAGACTCCTATTAGGAAGGAAAAGGAGCTATTATATGCAATCTCATGTCCCGGGGGTAATTTATTGATGTCTTCCACATGGATTTCCATGTTAAGAAGATAGCATATTATTTCATTGAGTACTTGGGTAAGTTTATGAATAAAATATGGTATTTTAAACTTATTTTACTTTAAATCTTAGAAGAGGTGATTCATCCTTCTGTAGCTCAAATATTCTATGGTATAAATCACAAATAACAGCATTACAAGATAAATTAAATCTTTTCATAATTTTAATAGGAATGCAAGTGTATTCTTATCCTTCAGTAATACTACATCACTCATATGGACTACCTCATTGAATTTTTCCACATATGATGTTTTGTATTATTTTACCAAAAGACTAACCTTTGAAACAAGAGGACATATTGGACTTCTTTACCAATAGAAAGTAAGCATAGTCCAGGTACCATCTAAGTATTAAAGAACTAAATAATCATAGTTATTTCAAGGCTTAACATATGTCTTACTGTGTCACATATATCAGTAAACCCTTTAACTTGAATTTTTCTGAATTTAATCAAGTTCTGGATAAAACTCATGTACATTTTATTACTTTTAATTTTGTATTGTTTCTAAAATATATCAATATCTGGAAAACTCAGAAGTAAAAAAGACGAAGAAGAAAAATATATGTCATTTCATGTAAATTTATTTAAAACACAGATTTTTGGCCTGGGATGGTGGCTTAGGTCTGTAATCCCCGCACTTTGCAAGGCAGAGGTGGGTGGACTGCCTGAGGTCAGGTATTCAAGACCAGCTTGGCCAACATGGTGAAACCCCATCTCTACTAAAAATTAAAAAATTAGCCAGGCACAGTGGTGGGTGCCTGTAATCCCAGCTACTCAGGAGGCTGGGGCAGGAGAATTGCTTGAACTTGGGAAGCAGAGGTTGCAGGGAGCCGAGATTGCACCACTGCACACCAGCCTAAGCTACAGAGTAAGACCCTGTCTCAAAATAAATAAATAAATAAATAAATAAATAAATAGAAACAAATAAATAAAACACAGACTTTTGTGTTATGGAGACCTAAGCATGACTGTCAGCTGAACTCAGCAATCAGGCAAGTAATTTAATCTCTCTAAAGTTCAGATTTCTCATTTTTGCAATTTAAGCACAATAGTGTTGACTTTGCATTATAGTTCACTTATTTAAACACATTTTAAAAACCTCTCAAATGCCAGAACCCTGCTAGAATCTGACTATATTGGTATGCATTTATGAATAGCTGAAGATATGCATGTGTCTAATGAGCAAAACAGATACAATCACTTTCATAGAGTTTACAAAGAATCAGGATAAATGCAACAGTATGTAATTAAGTGCAAAATCTAGTAGTATGAGGCTACTTAAAACATATTAAATGCTTCTTCCTTTCTTTTTCCCTGCCCAATCTTACTGCCATAAGAAATCCTGTAACTGTGATTCTGGCAAATGAATCTGAGAAGCATGTTGTTGCTGTGAACTAGTATAGAAAATAGCAGCATGACAAATTTAATGTGTCATTGGGAAAGAGAGATTGTATAATGAACTGAGTTTCCTGGTCAGTCCTGCTAAAACTGTGCCTTTCAGCAAAATGAGTTTGGTGATTTCATTCCAAAGATCAAGTTGCAGCAATTTTCATCATGAATGTTACCCAATCATAGAAAAATTGGCAACATTTACTCAACAGATGTTACAGTCTTTCTTGAAGGAAGGTTCTCTCAGCTGACAAGCTAACAATAATGCTCCTGATGGAGAGGGGAAAGATGGTGGTGATGACTGATTAATAAAAAGTATTTCAGACATATTTCCAGGTTTACAAAATGATTTACAAATATTTTCTCTTGTTCCCTCTAACACTACTAGTAGAAAATGGAAACTCCTTTGATTTGTTCTGTAGATAATTTTGTGCTACTTTATATGGAATGTCCATAGCACTGTGTGAACTTGAAAACCAAGGAGGAATCTTGCCAGGAGACTGGAAGAACAGAGAGAGTAGTTAGTGTGTGAGGACCATTGAGGTAAAGTATCCCAGAGTTGTAATTTTTTCTGGGCCTTGAATTTGGCTAAATCTCTGAATATTGAATATTATGTAGCCATCTACAAATCTGTCTGAAAATTGAGATGGTGATGATTTCTCTCCTGGGTGTTATGAAGAAATGTGTTTATTAGATACTTTGCATCCCTTGAAGGAACTATATTAATGGTAGGAATAAGATTTGTTAACAATTTGGAATAGTCTATTGATGTTACTACGGCTTTGTTTCTACCAAATATGATAAGTATAATGTAGAGGAAAATATAAAATACATCTTTTATCCCCCATTTTTCCATTCAACTATACCTCAATATTCAGTGACAGGGCCACCTTAATCTCTACCCATGAAAACCCATCTAGAGGAGTGTCACAAGTTTTTCACGGTAACATTTTTGCTTACTGATACAAGACAGTGATGGTGACTGATAATGTCCCAGTGATTTCTAAGTAACTTTTAACCAGTGCATAATTTCCCCGACAGTCTTTAAGTCTTTAGGTACCCATATTTTCCTCTTTGTTCTCCCCCTTTAGACTGAGAGTTTGTAGAAAGAGGGCAACAGATCTTTCCAATACACAACTGTCCAAAATGAATCAGGTTTTTTTCTTAGATTTCAGCTACTCCCTGTTAAACAATCAGAGTTTAGTGAACAGTGATTCAGTGAGGAGGGAAAGCATTCAGAAAGGAGGAGGAACAAGTGCAAATTTATGAAAAGGATTAGGTAGCAAAACAAGGTCAAACTCTGCAGTAGTTTCTTTTCCTCTCCCTAGTATTCCTCTTCAATCAGCAAAGAGGCTGTTATCAGTTTCTGGTGTTATGACTGGGCACATCTGCCCTGGGCCAAATATGCTGCAGTCTGCAAAGCCAGCAGCAGATTGCAGTCCTCTGCAGTCCAGCCAGGCCAGCAGAACTTGTGTAGCAATGTGCCCTGTTATAGCTATAATACTGAATTGGGAATATTCCCTTAATCGTGCACTTGAGGGCAAAAGCAATGAAGCTTTTTCTGTCTCAAAATAGACTGCTCTTCCCCTAGTATTTTAAGAACACAGACATGTATTGGGCAAGGCAAAGCCAAAGTTGGCCTTTTCAAGATTATTAAATGTGGTCTTCCAGGATATCTAATCTGTGTGATGACCCTGATGAACTAATCTTTTTCTTCTAAAGTGCTATATGTATAGATACCATCATAGAGTTACCCAGGAAATGGCTCATTCAACACTTTTCTTAGATGCCTGGAAATATTTAAGGGAATCATCGCTGGGAGAACATTGTATTGTCATTTTAACAGAAAACTCTCTTTGTGATTTTGCAGCCACGACAGCCCAACCCTGACTGGCGTTACTCTGCCTCCCTGAGAGCAGGCATGCACAGGTATGTATTTCCCTCCTCATTCACTCAGAAGTAACCTTAACTTAGTATGGCTCAGATAAACTGCATGTCCATAGGCCAGAAGCAACTATCAAGACTAAAAAGCTTTAACTTTGCCAGAAAAATGCAATTATTTTGTCCCCATGTCTATTCCTTGAAAGATTGGGAGTGGTCAGTGCCAAATGCTTACCAAGTGCTGGCATATAAGAGTCCTCTGTAAAATCGCAGAAACAGGCTGCTGTGTATTTTCTGCCATCATAATTTCTACAGGGAAGTAATTCCAACCTCCTTCCTTCCTCTCTACTTATGTTTTCTTTCCCTTCTTTAAAAACTGTAATTAATACTGATGCTTTGAGGCTTGGGTACCTTGTGTAATGTATACATACATGTTGTCTACCTTGTTTTTCTATCTCACGTTGATTATTACATCCTATTGCCCACAATAATTGATTGCTATTCTTGTTCATGTTCACCCCTATTAGAGTCTCCTCATCTTTCCCATCTTGATGCTGTCTTATTGTCATCAATGACATAGGTTCTTCAGAGGATGAGCCATGTAAAGGGCGTTTACTGGATATCTGGAGACCAAATCTAGCTTACTTTAAATTAACCTAGAGAAATAGCATTACCCTAAGAATCAGATTACATATAATTTTGCTTTCTCTACTTTGTCTCCCTGATGGTAATTGATGAACTACCATTATTTCTGGAGGTGATCTAGTATCCATGGCATAAGGTCAAATAAAAGGTTCATTATTTGTGAGTGTCTTTGGAAACAAAATGGGAAGGACCAAGAAACAAATGATCATTATTATGAAAAGGATTTAATTTTAAAGAAGAAATAATCTTCAAACTTAAACACTTCAAAATATCTGGACAACTATCAAGTGAATATTCATCAAACCTAGATCAGTTCCTAAGAAGAAAGCCTACAAAAGTATGTGTAGAGTTAATGTAAAATTAGTTTTAGTCCATTTAAAATGCATCAGATTGAAATAAATTAACATACTCTCAAGTATTACAAATGAGCAGAAGTCATTACATTGGGTGCTATTTCTGACTCAGAAGCAATCAGTGAGGGGCTGAAGATTAGTAGTTGGCTCGGTGAGATGTCATATTGGAACCTGAGTCATATTTAGGCCAGAAACACTTATGCAACTATCAGAATATTAGGTGTCAGAAGAAATTCTTTATATTTATTAGAGACCAACTTCTGCTTTTGCCTGCATCTAAGCTGTTGGTGGAGCCATGCCATGGGTAAAAGCATGGTTTACAGTGTCAATTCTTTCTCTCTCAGTTGAACCAGTGCTTTGCTTGAAAAGTACCAAAGCTATGAGTTGTACCTTAAAAACTACATTTGAAATAAAACATTAAAACATAACTTCATTATCCCATTTTTTTTCTTTTTTTCTTTTTTTATAAGATGGGATTTCACCATCATGGCCAGGCTGGTCTTGAACTACTGACCTCAGGTGATCCACCCACCTCGGCCTCCCAAAATGCTAGGATTACAGGCGTGAACCACCGTGCCCGGCCACCCTTACCCCATTTTCAAATTGAAAAAAAAAAAAAAAGCCAAATGTGCAGTTGCCTGTAGTCCCAGTTACTTGGGAGGCTGAGGCAGGAGAATTGCTTGAACCTGGGAGGCGGAGGTTGTAGTGAGCTGAGATTGAGCCACTATGCTCCAGCCTGGGTGAAACAGTGAGACTTTGTTTCAAAAATAAATAAAATAAGGCCGGGTGCCGTGGCTCAAGCCTGTAATCCCAGCACTTTGGGAGGCCGAGGCCAAGAGATCGAGACCATCCTGGTCAATGTGGTGAAACCCTGTCTCTACTAAAAATACAAAAAATTAGCTGGGCATGGTGGCGCATGCCTATAATCCCAGCTACTCAGGAGGCTGAGGCAGGAGAATTGCCTGAACCCAGGAGACGGAGGTGGCGGTGAGCCGAGATGGCGCCATTGCACTCCAGACTGGGTAAGGAGCGAAACTCCGTCTCAAAAATAAATAAATAAATAAAATAAAATAAAAGGGTTTTCTAATTTAGATGATGGTTTTCTTGGACATTTTCTCTTAGGATCACACCTATTTCTTCCTTTCTTCCATCATTCATTTATTCATCCAACAAATATTTGCAAGATTAATATTTGTTAGTATTAGACATACACAAATGAATACTGTACCATGTTTTCTTTTCCCTTGAACAATTTACGTTCTATCTCTGCTTGCCTCTAAATGTCTCCCAGTTTGTATCTCACTCCCAGCAGTCTTTTATGTTGAATTAATCTCTTCTGAACCGGGATCTGTGAGTGGTGGTGATCAGGTTTATCTAGTCTCAGGAAATACAGGGTGGGTCATCTATGCATAAGAGATGTAGAAAGAGTAAAACAGAAAATAAGGTTAAGAATTAATTGGATAACCAAATTGGAATAGTACTCCAATTATCGGACAATAATTTTGGTGTGTTTGCCTCTTTAGAGTAGAGAACCCAGAAACAAGAGAACTGGCAAGAGAGGCTTGGGGCTTTTGAGAGCAAGCCCTCCTCATCTGCTTCAGTGTTAAGATATTAAAATGGCTTAGTCCTCTGATGGGCCACATAGCATTAATAAAAAACAAAATTGCCATAAAGATAGAACACGTGTATTCCTGGAATAGTATAGCAGGCAGTAAGTAAGTCAGCAATGCTCTTGCAGTTTATGCAGGGTGACTGCTCAGCAGTAATTGCTTCAGTTCAAGCATGAGCAGAATGTGTTAGCTGCAGCCTTGTCTTCATAGACATAAGCAATTTCTGAGGGTGGAAGAAAAGCTGGGAAAGCATTTATGGTCTAACCGTTATCTGGGTCTGTGTGTTTACTCAGCTCTGTGCACCTAGAGGAGGCTGGCATTCTACGGGCTGGTCCAGGAGGGCCTGATCAACAGTGGCCAACAGTATCCAGTGCAACACCAGGTAAAGAGCTGGGGTCTCTCCATTCTTTCTTGCAAAGTGATCAGATGACCTATTTTTATAATATCAGGAATGTTTCTGGCTCTTTTTTGAAAAAAAACTTTTTGTTTTCCCTTTTTTTCCATACATACTTGATTCCCTTATATATATGACTATTTTGATTTTATATCTAATGCTCTTCAGGAGTCAAAAAAGGATAACATAAGGAACGTGTGTGTGCCCGCATGTGTGCATGTGAGTGTATGAAGTTTTGGGGGTTTGTTTGTTTGTTTAAATCAGGTGCCTTTCAAATGCTTAGGCTATCCAAGCCATACAGAGAAGATCTGGTGGCCTCATGTACAGAGATGACACTGTTAACAAAGATCTTTTGGTTGAAGACTATGGAAACCCACCCAAAGTAGTAAGGAAAGATAGAGAAAAAGAAGGAAAGAAAGAAAGAAAAGGAAGGAAAGAAGGAAGGAAGGAAGGAAAAAAGGAAGGAAGGGAGGGAGGAGGGGAGGGAAGGAGAGGAGGGAGGGAAGAAAGAAAAGATGGAAGATGGTTTATCATGAAAGTGGAAAGTTATCAGAACCAAGGCATTATTTTATTTGAGTTCAAGTCAAAGTCAATCTGCTTCTTTCTGCACAGCAACAACATTCTGCAGACTGACTTTTAGTGCCTTGGCATGCATGTCGCCAAACATGACCCCCTCACAATTTCTTAGTTTAGAGGGATAATAGGGACCATTTCCTAATCCAAAAAAGAATCTGCCAAGTTGAATAAAAAACCCAATGTCTGGGTGAGGATAGGAATATTGCTTAAACTCACATTTCCTTGGTATCCTTATTCTTGCCCTATCACTAAAGCAGTGTTGTATAATAGACACTGGGCTTTGCGGGCCCATTGCTATGGCAGTTTTCAGAAGGGAAAGATTAAGTGTTGGTAGAGACCACAAATTGGGTTTGCTCTAATCCCCTATTAATAGAACAACATGATGATAATAGTAGTTACTAATTATTAAGCCATAATATGCCTAGACACTGTGCCAGGTACATTGCTTGTGTGGTCTCATTTGTTCCTTAAGTTAAGCTTGCAAGGGATTTATTATATCTATTCTACATGTGAGAAACTGGTCAGACAGAGATTAAGAAATGCACCCAAGTTCATGTAGCTTGTAAGTGGCAGAGGGTAGGATTCAAACCCAAATGTGTTTAGCTCCAAATCCAAGTATATCTAGTACTTATATTTGTAACATGGCTCACTTGCAAAAATCCATTCAAATTCAAATACATATCTACATGCATAACAGATGACACAGAATGTGTGTGTAAAAGGTTTTTTCCCAAAAATAATCAGATGACTTTCAAATTATTATCTATGTAATGTTCAGCTAAGGGCCCATTTTTGCTGACAACTCTAAGGGCGTTCATTGATTCTAATCAGTCAGGATTTGCTATTTATGGATGTTGCACAATTCAACTAAAAGTCACATTTGTCCAAAAAATATACAAGTTGAAGCAATTCATTAGAGAGCTAATACTGCCAGATGGCAAGGGGAAGAACGTAAAATAGTTCATTGACAAATCTGTACCCTCAGTGCCAATGAGGAAGTGAATATGATGGAGGAGAAAGTGGTTTTAGACTGCCAAGTGTTGCAGGATGAGGAGGCGTCTGGGAAGTGAGAACTTCCCAAAGAAGCCACATGAAATCATGACTTTCTACCCTGCCTTTATTACAGCGTTTTTCTTGTTTTTATGGAGGCATTGTAGGTCAACCTGGTGAGCCAAAAACTAACTTTGAACACATTCTCCCTCCCATTGGTTATGCTGGTTTGTGGTATTCCTAGGAAAACATGAAATAGGAACCATGTATTGATATTTCATGCATCTGGCCACGTTCCTCTTTCAGATTCAAAAGACGTTAGAGAAGGGGATTTCCATTGTTCCCTTTCTTACTGTTCCAGCCCCTCTTGTATACCGTTTCATCCAGGACTGTGCCTGGCTGCTGACGCGTGAGGCACAGTCTTCTTAGACTGTGCTGGATAAAGCTTGTATCTTCCAGCTACTCCGTGGTGATCTAACCATAGTTTTCAACACATATCTCTGCATCAATGATGTAAAGTTAAAGGGATTCTCTGCTTTCTCTCCTGTCCTTCCAGTACTTTTAGGCTTTTAGGACTCAATATATGTTCTGCAATGCTTGGAGGGAATATGGCATAAAGATTAAGATTATGATTTAGAGTCAAATTTAAGTTGAATTCAAATCCCAAGCTTACTTGCTGGGTGAACATAGACAAACTTCCTGAATTCATATTTTCTTTATTACCCTTTCTGTAAATTGGGTGTAGTAATAATAATAACATCTATTTTATTGAGTTACCATGAGCACTAAAGGAGAAAAAAATAGCGGAGCATAGTGTCTGACATATAGTTCATAAATGTCTAATCTTCTTACTCGTTTTCTTCTGGACTACTTTTCTACAATCTATGATATCGCCTCGGCTGATAGCCTTGTGGCCAGAATTCAGTAGTTCTCATTTGCAGGGCCAGATATAGACCCTCTGAAGTTATCTGGGTCATCCTGACATCTATACAGTCCAGTCATCCCAACTGTCCTTCCGGAGATGGAGTGAGGAGGATTTATTAGCTGCTGCCTGAAGAAAAGGAAAATGCTCCAGAAAATTTGGTTGTTTCCAGAGCCTACCTTTCATTGATTCTGTGGCCCTTAAAACTTCCTGGTGAAGGTGGAGTTGCTTCCAAAAGGCTTCTTTCTGGTGCCTAAGCCTCCTTATACTTGCATCCGAGCCCTTTCAGTGAACCAGCTGTATTTTGCTCTTCTCATCCCAACACTTGCAATGGCTGCATAAAAGAATTGAGGCCTGCCTTACACTGATCCTCATGCATGTGTGTTTCTTAAAGTTATTTTTCCTCCACTGATGAATTATTTTGCCTTGTTACAAAGCTGTTCATTTATTTTCACAGTCTGCAAAAGCCTAAGATAAAGCTGCCACACTCTGAAGGGATCAACTAGAGCATCACCAAGTGATGTTTTCTGCAGGATAAACAAGTCAGGCATTAAATTGGTTAATCCTGATTACTGGCCCCTTTCTCTAGCCTCCCCTCTGTGTGAGCAGACCTGGACCACAGGCTTTCTTATTTCCTTTCAGCTTCCCTCGAGACTGAGCCGAGAGAGAAAATTAGCTCAATCATGAATGCAGGGAATACAGTTAACAGCCTCTTCTTCAGAGGGAGGAATGTGTTTCAGGGGGAGGGACATTAAAGGGCCAGTCACTGTGTTACAGCTCTTTTTAACTTCATGAATACGAATGCCCTGAAGAGCTTTTAATGAATGCCCTCTTGTGAACAGTTCCTAGAGGCAATCCCAGAGGTTATAAAAGGACTGCCACTGCCTGTGAGGGAACTGGTCTGGCTTCCATGTACCAGGCTGTTTTGTTATCTATTATTGGTTCTTCCAGCTCCTCTTTCTACATTTCATGGAATCTCAGGTCTTACCTAAGGCAACAGTACATTAGTTTTAGAATGGAAGTTGCTCACTATTTTCAGAAGAGTTCAGAAGGTTTCAAAACACACAGCACTGCTGATGATAACATTATAGCTTGTCAAGACCCCAAGGGATCTGGGACTAAACAGTGAAAGATTAATTAGGTAGGGGAAGCCACTCAGGCAATGGCACTTAGTTAGAGAACCTTGGTTTAGACAATGGTGCTCAAAGGAGCAGCAACACCAACAATACCCAGAAACTTTTTAGCAATGCAAATTCTCCAGCCCTACCCTAGACTAATGAATCAGAAATTCTCAGGATGGAGGCCGGTCTGGTGGCTCATGTCTGTAATCCCAGCACTTTGGGAGGCCAAGGCAGGTGGATCACTTGAGGTCAGGAGTTCGAGACCACCCTGGCCAACATGGCGAAACCCCACCTCTACTAAAAATACAAAAATGACCTGGGCATGGTGGCAGGTGCCTGTAATCCCAGCTACTCAGGAGGCTGAGGCAGGAGAATCACTTGAACCTGGGAGGCAGAGGTTGCGGTGAGCTGAGATTGCACCACTGCATTCTAGCCTGGGCGTGCTAGAGTTTTGATGGAGTGAGACTCCATCAAAAACAAACAAACAAAAAACAAGGAAGGAAAGGAAGGAAGGGAGTAGAGGGGAGAGGAGGGGAGGGAAGAGAAGGGGAGGGAAGGGGCAAAGGAAGGAAGAGAAGGAGGGAGCAATTCTCAGGATGGGACTCAGCAATCTATGTTTTAACAAGCCTTCAATGTGATACCAGTCTACTCTAAAGTTTAATAATTGGTCTAAGGTAAATATTCCTGACGTTGTCTTATGTCATTAAGACTCAGAATCCATGCAAGGAAGGCATCTGTTTCCCACCTTTCCCCATGCCTGAGATAATTGTTAAGAGCTCAAGCCTGGGAGTTAGTGACCTTTTCTGAATTCTACCTCTGCCACTCATTAATTGTATGTTTCTGAGACCATTACTTAATGTTCCTGATTCTTAGTTTCTTCCTTTATAAAATACGGAGAATAGTGGTGTCTACCTTATAGGGTTGTTGTAAGACTTAGATGAGATAATGCACACATATATACAGAGTCTGAAGAACAATAAGGGTTTAGTAAATGGTAGCTATTTTTAAATGATTTTTCAAGGTATGAGTCTATCCTTCAGCTTCAAAATTTAGACCCAGGTTGTTCTGAGTATTCTATGTGGGAAGGATCTGCTATAAAGAAGATTTTTTTGAAAGTGCCTATCTCTTCATTTCCTTAGGGGATTGCTTTTGCTCTGATTTGCCACATCTATTTACTCTGTGGAAAATGGACACAGTTTATGTGCCCTAGTTTTATATGGGAATTTATATTCTTAATTGTCTCAAGGATTCCTACCTCTCTGACAAAACCAACACCCCATGGAAAGGCTCCATGGAGATTCCATCACTGAACCTTCCCCAGAAAGAAGCATGATTCTTAGGAATCTATTTGGTAGCACTGTCAACAT